CTTTGCACTTTTCAGTGACCTATGACTAAGCGCTATAGTATAAGTTCATTCAAATTTTTGGTCGGGGGCTGACTAGATTCAGGTAAACCTAGACCGGTACCGGTCCGTTGGACCGGCTTTGAGAAACACTGCTCTAGGGCCTTCCTTCTGTAAGCTCACACAAAGTTCGTGTGAGAAATAACGTTGTTTACATTTGTAGAAAATTTTTCAAATAAAATTACAAGTACAGTTGACATTTATAGACGTGCTTTCCTTAGAAATTTTGAAATGTGTTTTTCTCAAATACGAAATAAACTTCACATTTAGGTAATATTGGGTCAAGTAACACTGCTATAATGCACTTGTGATATGTAGACTTATAAAAAAATGTTCTAGTCCCTTAATTAATATTTAGAATTCTAACAAACATTGTGCATGTGGAGTATGTTTAGCTCCCGATGTAAAAAAATTATTTACACACTAATTATACATATAACCGAGTCACTTTAGTAGAGTACCATACAAACTGTCTAACAGGACAGATAACTGTAACTTTACACTTGTTATATCCCTAAGGGTATAAACCTGACCTTGCACTGAAGCGACAGTGATATTCAGTCACGTAGGTGTCGTGCATGATTATTAGATGAAACAAAATTTAGATTAAAGGTATTTGGACACGTGTACTATCAAAGGCAATCAGAGAAGTTATAAAGAGATCACACAACGTTAAGTTTCAAGCAAATAAAGATTACAGCCTGAAGTAAAATACTAGTCTTTTTTTTTCTCTCTGTGGTGAAAGGCATATTTACGCTTAGTGTAGATTGTGTCTGTTGGTTTGTAGAGTAACTGTGTTCAAGTGTGTGTCCAGATTCTTTCTTTTGTGTTAGACTCAGTCTAGGATAGAACAACGAAATTCTGACAATAATTTCGTAATAAAGTGTCTGGCGATGCTCCTTATTCTTAGGTCCTAACCTATTTTACTGTTAGCTAAATGAGTTAATCTGAGAATACCAAATGTTTACAAAATGTTCCAACCATGGGCGTCCGCAGGAAGGGGCAGTTGCCTCCCACTAACATTTCACAAAAAAAATTACACGTAGTATGATGTAAACGTAACATCGTAGTTTATTTAAACATTTTTAGTACTTTTTATTAAAACTCTAAATTTGTGTTTAAGCACACATAACACATACGCTTTTAGTCTGTGGACTTACACTGTAAAAGCTGATCCCTACATACCTGTTTTGCCCCCCCCCCCAAATATTTATGGGGTTTTATTCAGTTATCTCATACTTTTTTCATATTGTTTAAGTCCAGTATCGGCGTAGCTACATTATTTGAAGTGTATTGGAATGTTCTTTATTTTGACCATACTTACAGTGTTTGGAAATATACTAAAATATTTTTTCCTTCGTTATATAAATAACCTTATTACATTTTTGAATTGTTGTTTCATCCTTATATTTATGTATATTTACTTAGGCTTTATTAAATATTTTGTATTTTATTCCCTTGTGTGCATCTTGTAATAGAATTCAACTGTCAGCATTAGCTAACGGGAAGACAAGTTGTCAGAAGAGTAATGATTAAAAACAATTATGTTTAATCCCTTAGCACAGTGAATTCATAATAGGTATAAAGATTATAGTACTAAAATAGACAAGTTTCCTATTTTAACATACATATTTTATTATAACGTTTTTAATTTCTTGATTTCCACTTTAAACATAAACAAATTGATAAAGAAATAGCAAACAAATTTTATCAGTTTTGATCTTTTTTTTTGTTAACAAGTCATAATATAGCATCTGTAAGTCTGTTTATTACCTGCAACGTTTCGTTTCTCGTTCCTTTGAATCTCATTCTTGTTTCTCTTTTACTCCTTTTTTGACTTCTTGTCTTTCTTTCTTCTAAAAAATCAGTAAACCAGTCTTGAGGCTGAATGTTCTTTTTTTTTTTTGCCAGACTTGCAATTCTAAATGAAGCAGTGGGAGTATCTGTTTCACTGTTTAAATCTTGATTAATTGAAGATGATGGGCCTGCAATTTCTGAATTTGTTGGGTGGGTGAAACATAGGGTTATTGGGAATGACAGATAACTGGCAGGAGGACTTGGATATACTTTATTCCTAAGACCAGTATCCAATGAGTTTCTTATAGCCTTTCCCATTTCGTTTTTTAAGTCTTTAATTCTTCTGCATGTTTGGAGAATATTTCACCATTTCTTATCACATGCCTCTCCATTTTCTGGAAACCCTTTTTTTTTACCTACCTTAATCCACAATTTTATTTTATACATGGTGGATTTTCAAATAAATCTGCCATGTCTAACTATATGGCAATAAGGCACTTAACACCTGTAGATGACCATTTACCTAAATAAAAGTATACAATTTGTCAGTAATCAGTTGATATTCTCTTTATACTACAATCAAAATATTTTGTACTGATACACACACAAACAATTGTTATACACATTTAAATGTAAGCATAATACTTATGGCTTCATTACTGACAAAAAATAATGTATTTCTTTTCTTAAGGAAGCTGCACACAGAAATATTTGATTATGTAAATACAGGAAATCAATCATTAAGTTCTTTAGCTGACAATAAATGTTTGCTACATATACCAACTATTTTTAACAATACTGCAAGAAGTAGTTTAATTTTAATAAATAAATAATATCACATACAGACCCAGGGGCCATTTGATACAAAGCCTTTATTTAAGTACCCTTACTCAAGACAAGTATGAATATGAATAAATTTCAAAATCATGTAAACTGTTTGCATCTACAACTACTAATAGCAGTATACTGCCACAGAAAATTAATCAATTTCATGAGGATCACCCTAATAGTAACAGTAATATTAATTATTTGTACAATATACAATAAAATTATAACTTTTCTTCAAAATTTTATTGGCAATTAAAAAATAACTTAATAAGAGTTACTTTCAGAAGCTGTTTCCTGAGTGGTAGGCTGTTTTATTCTCATTATCACCATTAGGAGTGTTGTTGGGTGATGTTACTGTTAGGCCTCTTGAATGATTAGTTGATGCAATGCTTGAACGTTACAATTCACCATTAATAAATTTATTACAAATTTCATCTGCATATGCCGGATCTGTAAATGGAAAAGTATACTGGAATTCCAAATTCACGCACTATACATAATTTCAGTTTCAGAACATTTGTTTAAAATATCTAGTATAAGTTATAGATACTTTAAACAAATACGTTAACTTTCTTTGTAAAACTTAAACAAATACTGTTACGACAGCGGAATTCACGTGACGCCCGTAACATGTCATGAGATTCTAGAACGATTGGGGAACATCACGAATAATCCAGTATTTGCTAG